TAGTAAAGTTGCCTGTGGGTACCAACTGCCTCTTACTACATGCTTGCTCTTAAAGTTCCTTGTGGTACCCACAATATCCTGTACTCCGTATTGAATATCCAAGAATCTTTTCTTCATCATCTTTTACAAAACAATCAGGTTAAACAGCTGAAGAATGATCTAATGCATTTCAGAACAAACGTAAGAGTCACATATTTCTGATCTGAATAAGAATACACATCACTATTTTCATCTGTATTAAAACTGGCACACATAGGATTGTATCTAAAAGTTTCCTTCGGTTAATGGAAATATACTGTGAATATAGTCAATGGTGATTTATATCATCAGTGGGTGCACATAACAGATAAGCCAACTCCCCGGATCAGAATAATGCATGCAACTTATAAAGCTTACAAAAATTTTTATTCTAGTACTTGGTGCTAAACTGAATGCTTGATATTGTGGAAACCTTAGACAAAGGACTGGAAAACACTCAATTGCATGTCAGCTGTGGTCCACAAGAGCTTCATATCTATGTGCTTTTTCTGCAGTTATCTCCACACAGTGATATATTTAAAGTTTAAATATTCTGAATCAGGATGAATTTTCTTTAAATCAAACTGATTTAAATCACAATTTAAATTAAAATATCAAAGATTTTTGACACTGAATCAAAAATTGATTTGTTTATTTAAATCATGATTTAAATTGATTTGACTTTTAAAAATAATTTATTTTCATCCAGTCTGCCCCGAATAGAACTAACTGTGGTTGTAGGCAGAAAAGCTACTGAATGGAACTGAGCTATTCTTTGGCGGTAGAAAGCCATCACATAAAATTGAGATGTGCTTTGTAGGCAGGAAGGCTGTTGCATGGAACTAAGTATACTTTGCAGGCATGAAAGGCTTGGGATATCAAATGGCACCGGGTACTCTTCTGAGCAACATTAAAATAATGATTTTTCCCAGCTTTTAAAATTAAACACAAAAAGTGTGATGCCTCATTTCCAAACATATAAATGTTTTAGTTTGGCTTACCAGCCATCTATACACAATTGCTACCAGTTAGCCCAAATGTTCAACATGTCAAGGAATTGACAAGTCAGGAAATAGTCTCATATTCATCAATGTGTTTCATATATTTGCTCATCCTCTGTGTCACAATATGTAGTGGAAAATGGCACACCCATCTTCTGCATTTCAGTGATAGTTAAGAGATTATTTAAGAGGGTTTCTCATACTGTACCGAGGAGGAATATTTATTGATGCTGAATGAATTGGTAGAGGGCTGCTCATGAAAAATGGAAGTGTCCATGCAAACCATTAGACAGAATTTCAGACAGCATGCATCTCCTTTTTGGCAAGCTCCCATCTCCTTGGGAGAAGGTTTAATTGGTCTAAGCTATATTACAGTGCTAAGCATGGTCCTTAAATCAGCTTTAGTCCTTAATGGAGTAGGTTAAGCATAAGCACAGGCTATCAAGATAAACAGAAGAAAAGCTGAAGCATTATCTGTTAGTTTTTGAAAATGTTTCCCATTGTACCATAGAACAGAGCACACTGAAAAGTTGTGCTTCTCAATTTTGTCAACAATCTGATGAATGACTTGAGGGCTAAATTTTGATCTTAAAACAGAATTTTAAGCCCTCACATATCCTTATCATGTGCTTACACATAAATGTGCCTTTCTGGAGAACTACAGAGTTTGGGGTATATCAAGATCACCACATCTATAAACCAGGTTGCATAAAAATCAGTGATTTCTATCATGACTTAAATTTTAAAAAATGATTTTTTAATTTAAAAAAATGATTCAAATTGATTTGATTTAAATAAAATCCACCCTGCTATAAATCCCTAAGCAATTAGTTGCTGTGTAAGAATTTCTGTAAACTATAAATTACTGATTAGAGATAGGGATATTCGTATATGAATATGAATATCCCCATTGCAGCTGGCCCTAATGAGGGTCTGGGCCCCAAGACCTGACTGTCCACTCAAGTGACCCACTGCAGCGACGGTCCCGCTTGTCCTGCCAATGATGCCCAGAGCTCTGCTCTCTTCCTGCTTGGCTGGCCACTCAGCAGCTGTGGAGGGAGACTCATCCCCCACCCCCTGCCTGGAGTGGCCAGCCAAGCAGGAAGACAGTGGAACTCTGGGCACCATTGGCAGGACAAGTGGCACTGTCGCCAGGGCAGGATGCATGAGTGGACGGTCTGGTCCCAGGGGCCGGGCTCTCATTAGGGCCAGCTGCAACAGGGATATTCGTATTTGTATACGAATATGAATATCCCCATCTTTATTACTAATACATTTTTAGAATCTATGTAGTACCTTGGTACAGTACTCAGAGAGTCATCAAGCCAAATGTAGACCAACAGTTGCATATATTAGTCCACCAAGAGGTCAATAACTCCTGTTGCTTTTTCTTTCTTCCCATCACCCCTGCCTCTCTTGCTATCTCTTTGCCTGCTAGGCTGTGTTTAGGTTGGGTGGAGCACAAATTGTACAAGCTTAATCTACAATACTGTGTTTTGAGATAATGTCAGGAAAAATGCTTTGCAGTAGTTTTACATCTAGGCTGATCTACCACATATATATGCACACAAATAATATATGTAATGTGGCCAAGGAACACTTCCAACAATGTCTGAACTACAACTATTTCCCATTTTTAATAGACTTGGTACCTGTCAACATGGTGCACATTAATTATTCTGAAATGGTCTGATTTACAAGCTATTCTTTCCAAGAACTGGCAAGCATCCATTACTGCTTTTAGCTTCAAGATATAACCCCACCTCCATCTGTGTAATTCTGATTAGCATTTTTGTCAATAATCTGTCTACAAGTATTGCTCCAAGGGAAAGCATTTATTTAACATGACACCAAAAATTACTGTATAAACCCTCATTTTAAATGTACTCTAAATTATGATGATAGTTGATTGGCTGCAATAAAAAGTCCTTTCATGCTAGACTACTGTAACAGCACTTAGATGGTAATCGTATTATTAATGGCAGCGCAACCAGCATTTGAAATGAGTCTACACGATGCTACTTTAGTGTCATACAGAGCCTGTCACCTTAGGTATTACCTCAAAGAGCTCTTTCTTAAAAGTTCTATATGGGTTATACCTAGTGATGGTTTTGCTTAGAGGAAAGTGTGACTGCTTAGACTAGCACAAACATTTATCACCAGTGCCTCCTGCATTTCTCCATGCCACAACCTTCCAGAGGATTGCCCAACACTCTGAAACAGTTGTAGCAGGCTGTGCAGAAGAGGCATAGGTAAGGAGTGGATAAGGGCGATTGGTGATAACTGCACGTCCTAATTTAAGTGGAGTGCAAGCACCTTAAGGCAAACTGCACTGGCTACTTTCTTCTATATAAAGTACAGGCACACAAAAACTGGATGGATCTAGTTGTCTTTGTTATGCTCTGCTCTTTTGACATAGGATAACATTTGGTTTCCAAATCTAAAATTTAGAATAATATTTTCAGACGCATTATCATCAATCATGTACAGTGGAGTGGGCAACATGTAGATCTCCATAGGTAGTTGAAGTGCAGCTCACAGCATCCCTCATTAATGGCTGTGCTGGCTAGGGGAAACCAGAGATGCATTCCAACAATATCTGAGGGCCATACTTTGTCCACTGTTATTAATATTCATCTATAACATGAAGAGACTTGTTGCTAAATCTATATGTCAATGCCAAATCATCTTATGTTGAAAGAGTTATTAGCTATTTCTTTATGGACTAAAACACACAACACTCGAGCTACAGTTTAATAAAACAGACCCTGACTGTTCAAATCTGTCCTTATTTCAACAATGTGACGTGAACATTTTCAGGTTTTTTTGTCACTGTCTTCTCAGATTGCATTTCTATCTAAATGAGAAACAGCCCTTAAACCAAATGCAATGCCAGCTATGTTACTGATAACACAAAGGATGAGTTTTTAGCCTTGCCTCTTAGTATGTCAAATACATTAACTGAGAGGACCTAAGAGATATAGTGTCATGAATGGGTTGCAACTTTTAAAGACTACAGTAGTTGTATAAATGAGGTCAAACTGCTCATTATACCAGGAGTGTTCAATGATACAACAAGGAGGGTGTCTCACTCCAAAATTAAGGGAAGAATTCCCTTGGTGTTAATATCATGACCCGTTTGTGCATCACACAGTTCTGAATTACACTGTATTAGATTCCATCTAGTCTTCCACTCACATACACTGTCCAAAAAACTATTGCAGTGAATCATTAAATATGTGGGGGGAATGAACACAAAGAAACTGGCAAAGAGAACATAACATTCCATTAAAAATAGAGCCTTGGAAGTATCAACTACAAGAACTGGATCCAGAATTAAGTCATAGCTACAGAAGACTGAAATTAATTGCTTTAAGTTAGTCATTACTACCTTGAATTCCATTGAATTCAAGCTTTTTGTTTGGTACAGCACTGTCAAAACAAACATCCTCAAGAATTCCTTCTTCACTTTAACTTATCTTACTGAAAAACACATTGTTCATTTTTAATGTTTTTATCCTTGTCCCTTAGTATCTAGAACACATTAACTGAGTAGAATGCCACAAAGCATGATTTATGTTACTATACACTTTGAAGGACTAAAATGTGCAATCCTGTCAAAAGTAACTCCTACTATGGAGTGCATGGCCAGATAAATATGCTTAAAACAGTAATCTAAAACCTGCTTCATCTGAGTGGCCCTGAAGATAGCAAAGGCAAACAATGAAATCAAAGCCTAGACATACAGCCTGCAAGATTCCTTTGCAAAGCTCAATGAATTGAAGATGAGCAACCATTCACTTTCCTGCATTAATCTGTGGGGCTTCAGGATCCTTTGTCTTTGCTGTAACAGAAAAACATGGCTTTTCTTTTGGAATATTTTACCAATAATGTACAGAGAAAAAACTTGGGAGGGCCAAACTTGCATGTTATAATTCCATAAGATTAAAAAGAAACATTGACACAGATAAACTACATTACCTTTCTGGACATGGATTATATCTGGGAAATTGGCCAGATGTCCTTGATACAGAGCTAACAAATCCATCACTGGGTCCAGGTCCTGTCTTGGTTGCTCTGCAAAAAGTTCACCAATAGCATCATAAGCTTCCCCAGTGAAGGCAATTGCTTGATTGAGGCCAACTGAAAAAGCCTGCTGGTCCATCTCAAAGGCTTGGCTGAGGCCCTTGAAGGAATGGCCAACTTTCTGGTATTCCTTCTTGAAGCCAGTGACCTGCTTGCGAGCAAACTCACTGACTGTCTGGTTCAGCTGAATGGTGCTCTCATCCATCTTCTTGGTGAAGCTCTTGAAACCATCAACCTTACTTTCTACCTCCTGCAGGTCCAGAGCAGCAGGACCACCAGTAGGCACACTAATGGTCAAGAAAAAGTTAGCACCCACCATCTCGTCCTTCTCAGCTTTACGCTTGCCTTGCTTCCAGGCTTTCTCATCAGTGCTAGGACAGGTGAGGAAATGCTGGAAGGCATCACACTGGGCCAGCACTGGATGACTACACATATGATCCATCCACCATGCCAAGCCTTTACGGCGCTTGGAGATAAAGTCCTCCTCAAAGCGTCCGGTGGCCTGTTTCTCTGGCAAATGGGGCACTGAGATGACCGGAAATTTCTCCACAAGGCGCCCATAAAGCCAGTCAAAGTGCTTGTAGCGCCGGTGCACTTGCTGTCCAGTGTGGCTGGGCACCAGCTTGTAGGCAATGTAACTTTTCATGCCTTTGAATTTGGTCTGCTTGGTGGGGTCTTCAATGGAGCACTGGAAAGGGTAAGGATTCTCCTGCCACTCAGGCCCATAGGGACCCAACACCACGCAGAGTTTGTCCCCGTCCTTCACGAAACCCGACGCTTCACCCAACACAAAGGCTTCGCCTCCCGATTTCACAAAAGTGGAGAACCGGTTCAAGTTGCGACTCACTGTGGCCGAGCTCTTGGGCCCGCCAGTGCCACTGCCCGGGTGGTGGAGGTGGCTGCCGGGATGGCTACTCCGGGAGCTAATCGACAGATCGGACCGGGTGGAAAGGCGGTACCTGCTGGAAGAACCGCCGGGGCCTCCGCTTCCCAGACCGGCATTCTCGTAGTCCGGGTAGGAGCCGCCCAGGACTCCCGGCTCGTCGGCCACGGTGGAGCTGTCGTCCCAGTCATCGTCCCAATCGTCGTCGCTGCCTTGGCTGGTCTGGTAAGAGGATCCACCGTAGGAAGGCACCGCTTGGAAGGAGGAGAAGCCCGACGAGGCCGCCGGTGGCGGTAGCTGGAATGGCTCGGCCGCCGGCGGAGGAAGCTGGTGCTGGACGGCAGGAGGGTTGAAGGCGGTCGCCGGCGCTGCTAAGGGCTCAAAGCCGGCTGGCGGCACGTTGGCGTAGCGGGCCG